TGTACCTCCACATCCTTCTCTTCGGCACTCTCGTACTGATCTGAGCTCTCGCTGGAGCTGCCGTTCTCGATGCATGGGTCAGGAACACTTTCTGCAATCTCATCTGGCAGGGGGGTTTCCTCGAGTTCCTCCAGATCGACCAAAACTACATCACCTTTGGATGCCGCAGCATGATGCTCGTCAAACAAAACATCACGTTTATCAACCAATTGTCGAGCTACTGGGTCGTACAATCGATATCCTTTGGCTACAACCGAGTACCCAACCATAATGTACTGCTTGCCTTTGGGTTGAAATTTGCTACCCTTCCTTGGGCCTTTGTCCAGAGCGACTGCAAGAGATCCAAATACTTTTAGATGCTTCACATAAGGCTTCTTACCCGTCCACGCTTCTATAGGAGTCATACTCTCCACCGCGCTAGTAGGGGATCGGTTTCGCAGATAAACCGAAGTGTTGACTGACTCTGCTCAAAAAACATCTCCAAGTCCGGCCTGAACCAGAAGGCACCTTGACATCTCCACCAGCGTCCGGTTAGCTCTCTCCGCAACTCCATTTTGCTGGGGAGTATACGCTATTGTTAGTTGTCTGGCAATTCCGTGGTAGCTGAGACATTCGTCGAACTGCTTGTTGACAAATTCTTCACCATTATCGCTTCGCAGGCATTTGAGCTTTTTGCCTGTCTGCCGTTCAACCAGGCTCTTGAACACGATAAACTTTGACAGCACCTCGTTCTTCCCACGCAGAAAATATACAAAAATCCTTCTGGATTTGTCGTCGATAAAGGTCAGAACCTTGGAACCTCCCAGAGACTATGTCGGGAAAGGTCCACAAACATCTGCATGTATCAGTTCCAACAGCTCCTCAGCCCGATTACGTGTTGCCGTTGGGAAAGGCTGAACATGGATTTTGCTGACCATACACGTTTTGCAGGTGATACTTGCTGGCAGACAAATATTTTCAATACCGCGAACAATCCCTTTGTTTACCATTTCTTTCATGCTACAGAAATTAATGTGTCCCTACCTCTTGTGTAGCAAAGCACCATCAACGGCTACCATACCAAAACATTTACTTCCCCCGCCGTTAAATAAATACAAATTACCAATCTTATTGGCTTTGACGATGCATTCTCCATCTTGCACAACCTGGGCTTTCTCTCTATCAAAGAACACCTTGCACCTGTTCTGCACAGCACTGCTCACGGACATAAAAACGCACAGGGCTGTCTCTATTTTGACGTCACCTTTTCCTTCGGCTTGAAGGAAACCAGCATCGGCCAGTCCGATCTGTTCAGTGTGCTTCTTAAATTTTGTGAATAGCTCTCTTTCACAACACATATGGCTTGTCGCGCCACTGTCCAAGCACCACATTGAGTTTTTTAAGTTGTTGACGTCACAGGCATGCAGCAGGCTGCTTTGGCGGTTCACCATATTTTTTGATACCATGCGTTGATTGCCGTCTTCACTACTCACAGCACGGCACTGGGACTTTATGTGACCTTGCTCACCACACTTAAAGCAAACGATATTTTTTCGCTTTTTCTTCCCATTCCTCTTTGTCTGTGAGTATTGTGGCTTCTGTGCTGCGATGAATGCCCTTGAATTATCCACTCGCTCTTCTGCTACTCCTTTTCTTTCGCTCTCTTCCTTCAACTTAATGGTGAGAACTTCAAACGAAGGCAACTTGTCTCGTGTTTCCATTGCCACCACGAAATGCTCAAACTGTTCTGGAAGACTCGACAGCAACTATTCCAACTCCAGCTAGGCCATCCAGAATTTCTGGAAATTCGCTTATATAGGTAGACATGCTCTGCCCCTGTTACGCAATCCGTTTGTTGAGTAGTAGTAGTAGTTTCTTGTACAACTGTACCTTCCGTACAGGTCCGCTTGGCTGATGTACCTCCTTTAGCTTCGTCCATGCCTCCAACGCAGTCGAACAATTCTTGATGTAGGCCAATTGAGATGTCTTTACACTCAATGTAATTGTTGCAAGCGCCTTATTGTCCAAGGCCAGCCAATTCACTCCCTCTGGAATATTCGATTCCGTTAGTTCTCCAGAAGTAACACTCCACAGACCGGAATGCACCAACACAGATCTCATCTGTATTTTCCAGGTGTCATAGTTCTTCTCCTCTAACTTTTCGATTTGATAAAGAGCACTCATTGTTCTTAATCCTGAGTCACACACCGCACAATTATCTTTAAAACGTCTTTAATTACATTTATGCCTGGGCCCATAACCTATTGAGCGGCAAAATTGAAAAAGAGATAAACACCGTGTGTATGCTGCGGAATTTTATTTGCGACTGACTCTTTATAAGTGAAGAAGGAACAAATTGATATACATATTTTGCTTACACCTAATTCGTTAAAGCGAGATGAATATAGGAGCTCCGCGATCTGTACTTATACATATACTGGCGTGCATTGCCTTATAAGGAAAATATACAGGGTCTTTATTTTCTACAATATATACTGGGTGCAAAGGAAAGAAGGTTGTGTGCAAAGTTTCAATTCGATATCTTTAAAACTGAGAGACTAGTTCGCGTAGAAACAGACAGACGGACATGGCTATATCAACTCAGGAGGTGATTGATCCTGATCAAGAATATATATACTTTATTGGGTCGGAGATGTCTCCTTCACTGCGTTGCACACTTTTGACCAAAATTATAATACCCTCTGCAAGGGTAAAATCAAAAAAATGAATAATCGCATAAGTTCTTAAAAAAATTTTTTTACTTTCAATAAATATAATTTAATATATAAATATATAATATTTAAATACTAACAAAATTACTTCATAATATTACGTTATTTTTCAAAAGGAGGGAGATGTAGTATGCTCACATATCGAGTACACACTGTACCTTTAATATCTCAAATACAATGTTGCATTTGTTTAAAACCAAATGTTCCAAGCACTTAGAGTGCGAAGTAATATAACCACACAAAAATACAATGGGCAGCCGAAGTGCTGAGTCGGCATGTCTGGCGAGCGCGATCGCTCCGTTACTATGTGAGCATAATACTCTCTCTCTCTCTCATAGGCTGCTATATTGTCGCCGCAAGTACCGATTGCTCCACTGCCGGGGTCTCCGACGGCGTAGCTGCGCACTCTTTGTCTTGACCATTCTTTTTAGAGATTTAAGGAATATATTAATTAATGAATACCAAATGGTCACGATGTGCTTTAGAGAAAATGATTCGTTTTTATTTAAGCTTCAAGAAATCGATGAATTTTTTTGGGAAGGAAAGAATTATTCGGTTGAAACAAAACTTTCATGATTTATTGTTATATATTTAAACAGTCTTCTCAAATTTGTTCACTAATATACAAGCATTTCGCCGAGACGCCCCGAGTGTGCATGTGTCGGCGGGAAAGATGCAGGTCCCAATTTCCATCTGAAACAAAAAACCCAAAAAATTGTATATTTTCAATAGCTTTAGTTAAACCAAGAAAATTGAATAAAAAGTGAGAAATTCAAAAAATTATTGCAAATTAAAAAACATTTTTTTTTAATTCACTTCAGATTGTTTATAAAGTGGGTTAATCATAACTTTCTTAAGGTTTTTTGGGTTTCACTATAAGAAAATGCAGTCTCGAATACAATACATTTTGTCTCGTTTCAATAGGACGTTTAATTTTTTCCCTTTCTTCCTGCAAATTAGGAAAAATCGTAAAAATGACAGTCCGAGAAATCGCACGTCGAAGTTTTCGTGAAAAAAAGCGTAACGCTTGCTCACTATTTCTCCCGTAACTTAAAAAATATTTTGAATTTGCTTCTGAAATTTTAGGGACACATTCTTGGATAGTTTGGGGAGACATTTGGCAAAAACAAAAATCGATTTTTTGAAGCCTCTAAAGCCGGTTCCCCCTTAAGCTGTTTTGTTAAAACAAATCAAAAAGATAATAAATTTTAAACTAAAACCGCTAAACTAGGCATTGCGGCTTAATTTTTATAACCTTGCAGAGGGTATTATAATTTTGGTCAAAAGTGTGCAACGCAGTGAAGTAGACATCTCCGACCCTATAAAGTATATATAGTTGAGTTGATATATCTGCTGTCCGTCTGTCTGTTTCTACGCGAACTGGTCTCTCAGTTTTAAAGATATCGAGTTGAAACTTTGCACACACCCTTCGTTCCTTTGCACGCAGTACATAAGTCGGAACGGCCGGGGTCGGACGACTATATCTTATAGCCGCCATAAAACTGATTGATCGGAAATGCCATAACTTTAATGTTTTTAAAGTTAGGAATTTGGTATTTTCTATGGGTTTTGATTTTTGGCCAATCAATCCGACCTACCAAATTTCATAAGCCGCCATATAACTGATTGATCGGAAATGCCATAACTTTGGTGTTTGTAAAGTTAAGAATGGGATTTTCTATGGGTTTTATTTTTGGCGAATCAATCTGACCTACCAAATTTCAAAAGGATCGGCCGACTATATCGTATAACTGCCATATAACAGAATGATTGGAAATGCCATAACTTTGGTGTTTTTAAAGTTAGGAAGTTATGATTTTTTATGAGTATAAAAAATAAATCATATGAATAATTTTGGAGAATATAATTTACAGAATATTCTGCAAGGGTTTATCAAGTTCGGCTCCGCCCGAAGTTAACTTTCCTTTCTTGTTAAATTTAAAATTATGGATTCTATAAATTCGTTTGTTATCTCATGTTTTGGCGACACTCGGCAAAGCAAGGACGGGGCCAAAATTGATCCCTAATTTCTATTAAATATGTTCATTGTTTCGTACCCGGATAGGGTCAACTGCATGAAGTTGCATTGGGAAATCGTGGTATTATTAAAAATCTCTTTGTTTCTAAAAGTGTTGCGAATGCCGGTATCGGTATTAAACTCTAGTCGTCTTTGAATACTCTGAGTATATTCCCAGAGTATAAATATTAAAAAGAATAGAATTGGCAGTATAGTTAGACATAATCGGCGTAATTAACATGTATATAAAAAAAATATATTTTTTATTTTAGGTGTGTGCCCGACTGAATGGAGCCGTCCAATGAAACGTTTGTGTGTAATTCTAATTACAGATAATAACAAGAAAAACGATTTTGCAAGAGTCGCCTTAAGAGATATTGCATTAAATAGTCGATATAGTTCAAAAAGAGTCCGATTCGCTTATATGTTTAAGGTAAGCTTGAAATCTTTTACGAAATATTTTATTTTTAAATGCTATGGGTTGCATATTTTATTGTTTGAATTTATGGATCTGTAAACATATTAGCTCTATTCTCTTTCAACGTAAAAACGAGATGGCAAAAGATGAAAGACTAGTTCCATACAGGGCCTTAAATACAAAAACAAAATACAATAGATCACTCCTAGATGGCTTTCCGCGTGATCTAAATTTTATTGTATGGGAGACTTCAATAAGATAAAAGCAGGTCAAACGATGAGTTTAAATATATTATAATTATTTCACGAAGCTTTTTTTCTCGAAAATTGTTCTCTATATAGCAAATCAATTAAATATGTATGTAAACCGGGCTTATGCTGCGGTCAAGGAATTTAAATATGTAACCGTATGTAAAACTGTAGCCACAGCAAAACGAAATGGTCACAAGAAAAATATTTTTTTTTATGCTAGTATTTGTAGATTTGTGGTAACATATGTATATTTATATTGTTGGTTTTTACAAAACAATAAAACACGGAATGCTCAAATTGACACATGTGGTTTATTGGATGCTCGAATGCTTACAGAGTACTGTTAATATGTGTTTCAGTTGGCAACTTATGTAAACTTATAATTTCAACACTTCTGCCACCATTTTCTGTCGAGTGTGTCGTTGGCCCAATCGGAATCAGAGAGTCCGCCCACAGGCTCGCCTGACCTCCGATACTTGACACACAGGTCCAGTGTACCGCTCAAATACCGCAAAACAGTTTCGTGTTCCGCATGGGTATCTGTATTTCGTTGCGACAGCTTGCTTACTGCATGCAAGATGTCGGGGCGGCTCAGAACTGCGTAATACATAAGCGAACCAATTAATGACTGATAATGGGTTACATGTACCTTTGTTCTTTGCAACAAGTGTGAAACCCAGAATCTAATGGTGTTGCAGCTCCACTGCAATCTCGCATACCCCAAGTTGCTAGTATGCTTTCGATGTATCTTCTCTGACTCATTCTGATGGCAATAAAGAATTGCCACCTCGCTGTATTTCCATACCTAGGAAAAAACTCAGCTGATTTAAGGGGGTATATAGCTTTTTTTGTCGAAAAAAAATAGGAAAGTTTGTATTTTTTTATGTATGTATTTATTGTTTTTATTAAATGAATGATTATATTTTCTGAAAGTTTAGATTGTTGACAATGTTTATGCAAAAAATTTTGAAAAAATATTTAATAGTTTTTAAGGAGCCTTGCGGTGATAATTCCCCAGGACGAACGGGTCAACTGATACCGAAAAAATAAAAATATTTCATTAGTTTAAAGTAGTATCCTGTACTTGAACGAACGTTTGAAAAAAAATTTTTTTTTTTGTGCATACGGGAACGTTTTCTGCAAAATATTACGTTTTTGGAAACTAAAATTCTTACAAAACTATCTATTTCGGCGAAATAAAAATTTTTACATGAAAAAACGATCGTTCAAGTACTAATAAAATTCATTACGAACATAGGTTCAGTAGTTTTTCGCCAATCCATATCACCGCAAAGTCATTTTTCAAAAAACACCATTTCGAGATATTCGCGTTTAAAGTTTCAAGTTTGGGTTTGGGCGGGGACGAGGCACGCGGCTAGGAGCGCTGTAACTTTTTTTCTACTGCTCAAATCTCTATGAAAATTTGGGGAAATGTTCTCAAGAAGTTGTTCATTAAGAAAAGCAAAAAAAAATTTTCGATTTTTTGAAAATTAAAAAGGTATATACCCCCTTAAGTCCTGCATGACGAATACGCCCGCAATCTTCTGCTTAATTGCGGCTATGTTCTCCTCATTGGAACTGATGATAATCAGATCGCCTACGTAGACTGCTACATAGCTGTACTGCTCATCCTGCTGATCGACATACAAACAAGGTCCGTAAAGTGTCTTGTTTAGCTTTAGGACTTTGTGTGGATGTTGTGCGTCTATAAATTGTAGTGGTTGTCTGATAAACACCTCTTCGTTAAGCTTGCTGTTTAAGTATGCATTCGAAATGTCCACGTGATACATATATAACCGTTGCTCCACAGCTATTGCAAACAATAAACGAATTGTCTCGTACCTTATAACTGGAGAGTAGGTCTCCCAGTAGTTACTCCATATTGCTGCCCACAACATAGAGCAACAAGCCTGGATTTGAACCTTTCGATCTCTCCCTTTTGGTTCCGTTTTATACGAAAAACCCATTTCGCACCAATGGTCTTTTGGCCAGTAGGTAAGTCTACTAAGGTCCATGTGTTGTTCCTTATAAGAGCATTGTACTCCGCCTGCATGGATTTCTGCCAACTTTCGCCATGTTGCCCACGCAATGTCTCTGCTGCTGTCGCCGGAGTCTCAAGATCCTCGACACCGTTGAGATTGTAAAGCATATACTGTTTTTTTGGCCTGCATCGCTGACCCGTGCAAATAACTTCCATGCCGTCGTCTTCGTCATCTTCTGGATCGCTGCTGGTGGTAGGATTCTGCTCGAAGTCGCCCACGCACTCTTCTGCTGTTCTGCTACTCTTCTCTGATACCCCAGCCTCTGCAGTGGTATCTTCTTGTATGGTTATTGGCTCCAAACGACTAATATTGAAATCAAAATTATCATTTATGTCTGAGGCGATGTAATTTTCAATTGATTTGTTTGAAAACTCACCCTCGATAATCTTGACATCCCGCCGCTCTATGATAGTCCGCCTGTCTCTGTCATATAGCCGATAAGCGTTCGCTGCAAAAGAGTAACCGACAAATTTATACTCTTTTCTTCTTGCCTGGAACTTTCCTTTCTTGGTTTTATCCAGCCCAAATACACGCGAGCCGAACACTCAGGTGTTTAACAGAAGGTTTCCGATTCTTCCATAATTTGAATGGAGTCCGTCCATCCAGTGCTCGTGACAGACACTATTCTCGAGGTAGTCTGCTGTTTGTACTACCTCTGCCCACAAATACTCCTCCAAATGTGCAGCAAACATTTCGAAATCTCAACTATTGTTCTATTATTACGCTCAGCTATTCCGTTTTGCTTTGGAGTATAATTAAATTTATTAAACTATTTTTTAACGTATTCTGTTCCGTTATCACTTCGCAAAGCTTTGATTTTCCTTTCTGTTTGACACTCTACGTGATTTTTAAATAATTGTAACTTTTCAAATACTTAATTTTTTGACTGCATAAAATATACATGAATTTTACGGGAATAATCGCCGATAATGCACTGATTTTTGCCATATTGCAAATATCGCAGCTTATCTCTACTGGCATTTTACGCACCTTTATTCCGATCACATGCTCTTTCTCGCATAAATTCTTTAAATTATAAAAGTTTACTTGCCCGAATCGATTATGCCATTTTACTGCGATTTCATTCTCGTTTTTTTCCATTCACAACTTTTAGGAACTTTTGTCCATTTCGTAAACATATAAATTATTTTCCTTTCGCGCACGCAGGACTAATTGTCCATGGCTGTTTCTCACTACTGCTTCTTATTTATAAAAAATGTAGTGAAATCTCCGTATATTGCTGCCTTACTCACTGAGAAAAAATTCATGTGCAACTTCGGCACATACAAGACATTTTGCAACTCAATGTTCTTGTTGTTTTCTCGTAATATTACCGTCCCAATACCGGTTGATTTCAAGTATTTTTCAGCGGCTAGCATTATTTTTAATTCCATTTTAGTAATTGACAAGAACATATTAATATCGTAACACATGTGAGAAATTGCTCCGCTATCGACGCACCATACAGTTTTTCGCTGCTCTTCTACTCGGCAGTGCATTAAACATTTCGATTGCTCGTCTCTGTTGTATTCTTTCTGAGGGCTATCACTGTTTCTCACTGTTTTCTCTTCACCGTTTCGTCCACATTTGAAACATTTGCCGTTAAATGCGTGCTTTTTGGTTTTCTTCGTGTTTCTTTTGACTTCCCTTTGTCTGATGATTTTTCTATCAGTTATTTAATTTTTTTTTTTTTTGTAGTTAAACCGTCGGCGCATGTAGACGTGTATTTATTGTGCTCCGGGAAAAGTATTCAATAAAATCACAAAAGTGGAGTGACCGTTTTAATAAATCTAACGCGCAAAGACGCTTTCTGCGATGAAATCGCGAATGTTTATATTGATTGGTCATTTAATTAATATAAAACTTAACACTTAAAACACAAATTAACTTTACCACGAATACAATGAGTCTGAACGACGTTCGCACACAACGTCAACGTGAGCAAGACGAGAGACGGCTCTCAGTACAAATAAATAACGCGTACTTCTCTTTTAAAGCAACCGAAAATAATGCAAGCTTTGATCAAGCGCGGGCAATTACCCCCAACTTGACCGAGTTCTTAAACGTAGCGAGCGAGAGAGTGCGTTCTTGCTCCCCCTCGCTACCATCGACGTCTCTGCGGCCAAAGAGCGCTGAATGTGCTCCAATGCAGGTATGCAATAACCTAAGTTCATCAGCAGTAACTAGCACCGCAATTTCTTTAACAACGTCAACTGTAACTACAACAACAACTGCAACCGTATCGACTGCGCGTTTAATACGTCATTACGTCATACGGCATTAATACGTCTGCCGCTGCGCTGCCCGAAAAACAGAACAAAACCAATGAATGTGCTAAGCCGGCTGTGCAGACTGGTATGGATCACTACATCCAAATCAAAAGGAAGCTGAGCCCTCTAAATTCTCAACGCAAAATAACCCGTAACAATGCTAGCCTAGCTGGAATAGAAACGCCCACGAACTCAAACCGATTTAAAATCTTGGAAGACGCCTATGACGTTGAGGCGGCCGAATCCACTGAAGTCGAGAAAAGGAAGCCAAAACCTCCGCCTATTTATATTCGAGAAAAAAGTTCGAATGTTCTTGTCAACAAAATTATCGAGCTTATTGGAAAGGATAACTTCCACATAATACCTCTAGTAAAGGGCAAAATCCAGGAAACAAAGGTTCCAATAAAGTCTGAAGATAATTACAGAGTATTATCGAAATATCTTTCCGAGAA